CTGGTATCCAAAATCTTTATAGTGCACAAATATCTTTCGTCTTTCATATAACCTGTGGACCTATTTGTATCTTTATACGATGAACCTAAGATATTTTCCGGGTGCGTTTATGCTTATCATATGGATGAAAGTCTTCAAGCCGATTTTTTCCAGTATTTATCTCGGTATTTAAATTCTTCATAGTGCGCGAATATCTTTTTTTGTCAGAATTGGTCGGAATGGTGTGATGAAATCTGTGTCGGCGCAAGTGGCCACGAGTAAATCGAGAGAGGGGGAAAATAATATGAATATTAATTTTACATGTCAAGCTTGGCTCAGCGATGACAGGTGAGACAAATCTGCACGCATGCGCAAAAAATTATTCTCTTGCAGTCTTTTGGTTGGCACTGAAAGCGGTGACTTATTCGTGTACGAAAATAATGGAGAATTTCGACAAGCTATTTCTACAGCTCCGGGAGAGCTCAGGTGAAGGGAAATGTCGCGCGCTACGGAATTATCTCCGTGATAGGTCATGCTTATGCGCCTTGGCAACGACGAAGGGCTTCGTAATTGGTGGTGTGGAATCGACGATACGAATATATGAACGAAGTTATGATTCCAAAGAGGTGAGTTCTCTCTAGTTTGATGAGAATGGAACTATTATGAGCTGGTTAAAATTCGATGGAGTTTCACCCGTTTGAGGTGGCATAATATTCCGTGGAAAAAGCGCTATGCAGTAGTCGTGAAATATATTATCGACTAGCGAAGTCTGTTCTTCAAATAGCGGGTGAAACTCCGATGCTTCTATGATGGTTTTTTTAGTACATAAGAGATTTCTTGACAATTATCTTGAGGAAAAAATCCCAAGTTTATCGGAGTTTCATGTGTGAAATGAAAAATATATTTCACAGTCACTGCGTGGCGCCAATGTCGGGTTTTTCACCGATTATTACGTCAACTCACTTGAAACGGGTGAAACTATGATATTCCGTAACTTGTGGTTATAATGCGAACCTACTTTGCATCTTGTTATAACGCAGCCTTGGATAATCCTTGTATTAGGGATATATTCTATCGAGAGAACTACATTTGGATTCAAGATGTAAAAAATTGACGAAAAAAGGCGAAGGTGATGATGATGAAAATGAGAAAAGAAGAAGATATTCTGATGAAGGACCCGAGGCGGCCGGAGAGGCGTTGGCCCGAGCCAATACGTGAGAACCGGTTCGGGGAAAATATACGACTTGGTACTTTTAGATGTAATGGTTCATAGTTTACTAAGATATAGATAATCATTAGAGTTCACCGGTTCTATGTGAAGTGGTGTAATCCTCCACGGAAAA